TTTCGAACAACTGTGTGGTTCTGTTTGTCCCTGGCGTGTTCAATTCTACCCGTTATCCTGTCTTCTTCTGCAGATGCTACTGGAACTAGAAATGACGAAGTTCGTCGTTGTCCTTGCCTCCAGGGGGATTGCCAAGCCATCTCTGCCTTACGCTTTTGCACGATTCTCACAGTGACTGCACGTCTTGGTAGGGTCCTTGCATGGCTTGCATGACGGACTGCACGTTTTCAGCCCTGCACCTGCTGCTTGCGTAAGAATTCCTCTGAAACCACCAACCGTTTCACAACCGCATCGAAGTGCCTGTCTGACACAATCACACGAAATGTGGTCATGGCTAGTAGGAGCTGTGGGACTCCCTGGTCTTGCACCGCTCGTACACTGTCTGTGGCATGCATTCGAATTCTACCCACAAAGCGGATGACTCAAACTGGAAGAGCCCTGAGTCGGAACGGTTGACGTGCTATTTGTGCTGAATCTGTCCAGTTGAGATTGTCGCCAGCACGACATCCGACGGTAGGTATAAGACAGTGTGCGTGAGCGCTGCGAAAACTGGAAAGTGGCAAGGGGGATTCTGCCGACGTGATATTTAGCGCGACACCAGTCGAAACTGTCAGCCCCTCACTTGTCAGTGTTGTCACGTGTCAAGAAACACAATCATTCTGTTGTCTCGTACCCCGGCCTTCTTCACCACCGGTGCACCTGGTTCGTGTGTCGCCTCACTGGATGTAATGTGCCTATGCCTACGGCAGCGACTGGCCACCTTGTAAAAGGCCACAGAGGTCAGCTACATTGATGTAGGCTTATCTAGCCTTGGTCCAAGTGCCGAACATTAATGCGATCGGATGCGGCATTTGTGCACACTACTTTCAGGATGTTGTTGATCGATATAGGCGCCACCAGGACTATCAGCCAGAGTACGTAGATTTACGTGATATTTACGACTGAGCCGTCGCCAAACACGTCACAATCACTGAACCACAGGATTTCACCGTGGCAGGCGCTAGGCAGGCCAGGTTACGATACACGTTCTGGCCATGACTAACATCACGTACACAATGCTGATCGACGAACCACGGAGAAGCTGCTTCACAAGACCCACCGGGCGACGAAGGTATGGGAAGCAAGGCTGCATGCAGGTGGGGATCTACTCATGTCAAAAATGTTGTATTGCAGGACCATACGACTGTGCAGAGGTTCATGCAGTCGTATGGTCCTAGTATGGACCATGCAGTCGTATGGTCACAACGAACTTATCTCACAAAAATGTAATACCGTAATAGCAAGAGTACATAACCAAGGGTTATGTACTCTTGGTAATAGTGAATACACTTGATTTCCTGACAGCTGTTTCGGCCTTCCTGGGTCTTTCTCATCAGCGGAGGACGGAGTGCCAGTGTCCGAATTCATTGCAATGAGGTGTAGTGAACAATAAGAAGGTTTGCATCAGCATCGGCTCATGCGGCAAAGCATCAAAGTCAGCTACAGCTAGCGTTGCACGAAGGCAGGTCACTTTAACGCAAATCAGAAAGAGCGCTCAGCCAAGGCGAGACGGTGAGAGAGTAATAGTCAAGCTTCGGACGGCTACATTACACCACATTACGTGAAGTATAGACTGCAGGACAGCCCCGGGGCAAATGGCGATCTCTATCTTTATCTCTCAGCCTCGGTAAACAAAAGAATAGTGTTATTATTGGAACGGCCAAGATATGGCCAGGTGTGCTGTAGTGAATGAATGAGGATTTCGGAGATGTTATCGGTAAACGCAACGTTCGCGTAGTACAACTCTCCTCCTCGAAGAACACTGAGAGAATAGAGTGACATGTGGCGTCACGTCAGCGAGCATTTGAAACAACGGATGTCCGGTCAAGGTTTCAGTCATCATGCTGGCTACATGCACACCTGGTCACTGGTGAATGACAGCTAAGATCGTTAGCCCTATCATAACGACATTTCATGCTAGTGGTCAGGGCTGAAATGGTACCATTGGCATTGCTACCATTTGACGTTCTCCGCAAACGTCATTCAGCATACAGTAGTACTACTTTGAAGTAGTAGCAGGACATGGGGATTTCTGTGTGTGTGTGAGGGGGGGGGGGCAGGGCAGTTAGAACTGCATGACTGTACATTTACTGTACATGTATGTACTCAGTACAATCATGGTGACTGTATTAAAGCTTGAAGTATACCCTAAAATCAAATTTTCACCAGTTGTAGTCTTCGGGGTGCTAAGTCGAATGGTCTTGGTCCGAGGAAGCTGAGACGCTCCCTTCCTACTTGAATCCCAATCGAACTCGCGCACTTCCACCGAAACTGGGTGACTGCGCCCTACTAGATGGGGATTTGTATGCAAAATGTCACTAAAAGCGCCATTTCGTTCTTAGAAAAGCACGGATGACCGCGATTGGCCCATATGTTGTAGTCTTTTGGACGCTGAGTCGACTGGTTTTGGTCCGAAAAGGCTGCGATGCAGCGTTCCTCCTTTATTCCCAATCGAACACGGTTGAACAAGCGGTCACGTGCTCCTGCGTACACCAGTCACCTGGTCACCGTGCCTGCAGGGTACAACTTACTAGCCTGTTTGACCTTTTTTGGGTGCAGTCCTGTCACTCGAGTTGAACTCGAGTTGAACCTTGGTGTGAAAGTTGTCGCCTGCTGGCGCGGTGACCAGGTGATTTGGGCACCCAGGAGCACGTGACCGCTTGTTCAACCATGTTCGATTGGGAATAAAGGAGGAACGCTGCATCGCAGCCTTTTCGGACCAAAACCAGTCGACTCAGCGTCCAAAAGACTACAACAGACCAGCAGTCTCTTCCCTATGTACGCGGTAGGTCTGCATTGCCGTGACAACGATAACATGCTGCTCGCTCTTTCTAAATCGATAGACTGGATGCAAGTTGGTTACGAGATTGAAGCATTGACCTTTGATTTAGATATACAGGTATACTATTCTTGCCATCAAGAGGGCGTAACCGTCGGAAGTGGAGGATATGACTTTAGCCAAGAGTATGCCATGATCATCTCTTTCCAGACCATCATGCATTGGTTGGGCTTCCTATTCCTTCGAAAGGTAGCCCTCGTTGATTTGTGCAGTACATCGCCAAGTTTTCATCTTCTAATATACAGATTCGTTTGTACAACAATGACTCCGAGACCAGGCCTTGTGTTGATGCCCCCTACCCCCAGGAGTGCTATTGCGGGTAAACCCCACAAAAACCGAATAGCATTGCTGCCAGGATCTTGATCTCCAGACAGCTAGCTAGCAGGTCCGCCGTGTTTAGATAACACGGTTATCCTCAGTCCAGAGCGACCGGTCAATCAATCTAGCCCAAACGGCGAAAGACGGGCTCGCCACCCCTGTATGGCAATTATTTCCCCATTTCTAATCCCCGAGAGGAAGTGAATACTGTAGAAGTCATACTGGCCACTGAAGTAAAAAAGATCTACTTCAGTAGTCAGTGGTGAAGTGGTTTTCCTACTACTACTACTACTACTACTACTACTACACTGCACTACTACTACTACCATACTTTCTGTGTTTTGTTGAAGGCAAGGTTGAGCCTAAACTTTAGGATAAGGGCATCTGGGCGCAAGCAAACCGGGTTTCATAGCGTTCTAACTGCAAGAAAGTATAGACTATGAGTGGGCGTTATAGAAAGTTTATACCGAGATAGGTGATACTTATGAGGCAAACAACGTGAAAGAGTGCTCTGTATCCAGTGCCATAACTTCATCACTATACCATCCGATCAGAACTGATCCAAAATCAATTCCACTGAATGAACGAGGACATTTCATTAGTGGGATACTGCACCATAGTCGAGGGCGTTTGAACGAACACCACCGAAATCACAGAGATGTTCTACCCAAGAGTAGTCTTAACCGCACTCTTGTCTACACCAGGAGTCCGGGACCCATGCACAACTGCAGTACATGTACAGTGTACTCAACTACATGGAACTGTAGAAGATTGCGTAATCTACACCAGCCGAGACGGCATAAGGAAGCACGGAGCAAGAACACTAAGTGCTCCAGTGGCATAGGGTATGGGCAAAGACATTTCTTTGGGAGGAGAGGCCGCGACTCAATGGCACTCGCTGAAGATATCATAATATCTGTAAGAAGTGTTGAAGCGGACAGCAGGAGAAGAGGACAGACAACACAACCTTGGTGGAGCCAGCCACACTACCTATCACTGCAGGGAGAGGAAATGACTAGCGGACCAGAATACCAGCTAGGGAATGCACTCGCAAGACATGTATATGCTGAAAAGAGGAAATGTGGCCCTCAAATCAATGGGCCAAATTGGGCAATAGCTCACGAGAGCCTTGCATCACTCAATGACATTCATTCCCAAACAAACCTAATCAGTAGAACTTTGCGGTCGAGCAGCAAGAGATCAATGGTGTCCCAATGGCAAGGCGTCAGAGAGCCTAATCAGTAGAACTTTGCGGTCGAGCAGCAAGAGATCAATGGTGTCCCAATGGCAAGGCGTCAGAGAGCAGTGCATGGTGCAGTTCAAGCAGGTGGCATTCTTAGCATGCTGGCAGGACGAGCATCCTGCAATGTAGTCTGTGTGTGGTCTTGTGAAGCAGATCAAGCTCTTAACGTCACTTCTTCCAGCAACTATTCGGCAGGAAAAGCCTGCGGCATGCCACCAGAACTTGTTTACTACAAATTGCAGCGCGATGCGGGACTGGCACAGATGGCATAGAGCAGTACCACCAGCAATCAACACTGTGGACAATGCAGCTAATACAAGCCATGTGCACTAGCTGCAGTAGCAAACTACGGTACCACCTGATCGACATGGACTTATCACTAGTATAGTGCCACTGCGCTTGCAAGTGCAAGTGGACTAGCACCGAAAACAACACGACTGGCGACAGGCGCTGACAGGTGCGGACTGCTACAGTGTCAGATGGTCAGCTGACATTGGCAGCACAGCTGATAGTCCACAAGGACATAGCCACACACACATACACACACACAACGTCTCTCTCTTACAGGAGAAGCAAACAAACTGGAATGTTTCCTCATCACTGGCACATGAAGCTCGAAACGCATACGAATATTATTCCGGTGTGAAACTGCCAGATATATCCAGGGGAATGTGCACACAGAAGCATAAAAAAAAACTAGAGAAAACGCAGTAATAGTGTTACTTGTATATGGTAGTACTGAAGCAGTAGGATTGACATTCGGCGCATCAATCTTGTCAAGTAGATTGACAAAATAGCTTACTTGTCAGCAGGAATACTGCAAGCGACTGGTAGTGCTCAGCAGAAACTATTACATGTAGACAAGCTTGCCGTGTGCTGTGTGCTGTGTGTGTGTGTGTGTGTGTGTGTTAGCTTGTGCTGCAGAGTCGGCCTGGCACACTCCGACACCGGCATGCCACAGACTGGGACAACGCGAGCAGCGGTCGTACAAATCAAATCACAACTCGATTTACAGTGCAGTCTGCGAACGCAAATCATCATCACAGCTATCCAGGAATAGAGAGCTACACGCCGCCACACTAATAGAAACTGTGCAACTAAAATAGCATAAAGATACTAGTAATCGGTGGTCAAGGATGAGTTGAGGACTAGGGTGTGGGAAAAGTCACGTTCTATATCTGAATTTGACATAGCATGGCATGCCAGCATGAGTACCTGCTCACAATGGCAGGGCAACAATACACGATAAAGTAAACATGTCCCAGCACTCTCCACCTACCAGAACACAAGCATGCATCGTCGAGGGCATGCTGCTGGTTGGGTACTGTACTGGGCGAGATGGTACGGGGGGTGGCTGAGCAATGGCCAGGAATGCGGTCAGTGTGTAAGCAATTGCAGACCTCACTCGGTGAGCAGGCCTTGCTTAACTCAGTGACGGCAAGAACAAGATGAGCACTACCTTACTAGAATACCTATTGGTGTGGCTCAAGCATGGCTCATTCTCTGAGATGACCACCGCAGCTAGGATGGGAGTCCTCTACTACTTCAGAGATAAACTAGACCCGAAGCTGATAGTCATGCACAGAGCAGCATCACTGGCAGGTCAAGCTCACCAAATGAATGGGATGTCCTCCTCACAGCTTGGCCATCGTATCTACTAATGCTGCTGTTGCTGCTCGTCAGCCAGCATTGGACTGGAGATTGGCACTGTCTAGTCTCGGCCAAGTCACAGATGGTATTGCCACTAGCGTCAGGCACAGCTCAAGCAGTGAACGAGCTATGGCTAGCCAGTCCATGCTGCCACTGCAACTTGTGTAAGTGCAGGAAATGAGCAGGACATTGTGCATGGCCAGTCTGGGTTCACGTGGACATGCCTTGAAGCCGTCTCTGTGCGTACATGTATACACCAAGTCATAGACTCCTGATAAGCACCACAGCCATGTATTACTGTGTGCAGACCTGCTTACAGCCAGTAGGGAACTGCAGCATACTAGTAAGCAGTAGACACACACAGGCATGGTCTGCAGTGCAATGCAATCCAACCATGGTGTACACACCTGATGTCACAGGTAATGTAGTGGATTGGTACCGGTCCTGACCGGAGTCCACTCATGGGCTCGATAGTAAGAAGTTGTCGTGCCAAGTGTCCGATTACTTCTTGATAGCCTTTGGCTTCACAAGCGGCAGGTACCACTGCAGAGAGAGAGAGAGAGAGAGAGAGAGAGAGAGAGAGAGAGAGAGAGAGAGAGAGAGAGAGAGAGAGAGAGAGAGAGAGAGAGAGAGAGAGAGAGAGAGAGAGAGAGAGAGAGGAGGGAGGGAGGGAGAGAGAGGGAGGGAGTGAGAGACCGACAGAGAGAGAGAGTTAAGCAAACACATGTGCGCACACACCACCATCACCACGCACACACACACCACTTGTCACACTATGCTAACCTCACCACAGTTTACAGCAACAGCAGGTGCAGATACATGCACAATCATGTATTACTAAAGAAAAGCTTTGGTCCGATTTAAAAAAAGCTCTATGATTCACTAAACTTCATTGTGATCGGTCCGGTCAGCCACTCAGAGCTCTGTTGATGAGACCAAACAATGCAAAAACTGCTAGCTGTCCCAGAGATTGAGATGCAGTATTGACGGTTATATTATAGCTTAAAGTGTCATAAAACTTGTACCTGTACTGCAATTAAAAACAACATGATCCGTCAACCATACCTCCTCTGTGAAGCCTGCTAATTCACGTGCTTCCTTGTTGAATGGTGGCTTTAAGTAGCCACTGCAGGATTAGGAGAGACAAGAAGACATCTAGAGTCAGCACAATGGTCACTTTCCAACACCAGGCATTTGCACATCCACTGAGGGCCAGCGAAGTATATGGAAGTACTGTGAAGTATATGGAAGTACTGTGAAGTATATGGAAGTACTGTGTCTACCTGTACAATGAGCATAATTCCCATAGCTATGCAGAAGACGTTACTTCAGTAACGTCTGGCGCTAGCCAGGGTCTACACAGCTTTAATTCCCGTAGCTATGCAGAAGACGTTACTTCAGTAACGTCTGGCGCTAGCCAGGGTCCACACAGCTTTAATTTGGTATTTGTTTGTTTGTGTGTTTGTTTGTTTGTTTGTTTGTGTCACGCCTGGCGCTATCCCTTATCTGTCCCGTATCTGTCCCGTATCTGTGACTACAAAGGCTCTACAGGATTGTACATAACAGCTGTCCACAATATTTGCGGGCTCCTGTATCTGTCCCGTACCGTACCAATATTCGTCGTATTATGTATACGACTCCCTGATGTAGAGGGAGATTTGGAAAGAAATAGGGAGACGAGGAGGAAATTAAATTAGAATAGACGCCGAATAGGTGATAGGATGCGTCAGCATAAACAGCGTCAGCATAAACATACATGTACTTTGGAAGAGAGATCCCGTCGTCTCCAAAATAAGCGTGAACGAGCGATTCAGCGCCGGTCACAGGAAACGTCGGAAGAGAGATCCCGTCGACTCCAGAACCCCCGTGATCGGCAGAGTCCGCCGGTCCCAGGCAACGTCAGGACAGACATCCCGTTGAGTCCAGAACGCCCGTGATCGGCAGAGTCTAAGCCGGTCCCAGGAAACGTCAGGACAGACATCCCGTCGAGTCCAGAACGCCCGTGATCGGCAGAGTCAGCGCCGGTCCCAGTGAACGTCAGGACAGACATCCCGTCGACGCGCAGAAAAACTAAATTTGCAGCCTCTTTTGCCGTCGGACAGGATACGTATTATAGGAGACTGTAAAGTTATGTAATGTCCAAATTTCCACGTGAGCAGCAGGTCACTCGCGTTGATTTTTCGACGTGCGAGCCAAATAACGCGAGCTGAACTTTCGCGTCGCAGACATCCTGTCGACGTGCAGAAAAACTAAATCTGCAGACTCTTTTGCCATCGGACAGGATACGTATTTTAGGAGACTGCTAAGTTATGTAATGTGCTCCACAGGCAACCATGCATTCGGCGTCGTCATTGGCTCAACAGGTCAATGTACATGTATTACTACAAAAAGGCCAGAAAATCCGATTACTGTATTAAAATCAACTAATTTTCGCTGGCGATTTAATTTCGCTGATTTCGCCGCTTGGTACCAACCGGCCAAAGTAAATCACAGGCCAAAGTTTGTCATATAGGCAAATGATGCATGATTGAGCAATGGATGCATGTGAGAGCAAAAATACCTATCGATTTCAAATTTGACGTGAAATTGCGCGTCACGTCGGAAATAACGTGCATCTTAACCTCTCTGATAGAGAGGTTTCTATTTCTAATCGGCCAAAATTTGTTGATTTACAGTATATTAAGAAAGAAGGAGCAAACCAAAAGTAGATGATTATTAGAGAAATAACAATCCGCAATAAATTCTGCAAATACTTTTGCCTCAGTTCTTATAACATGTACGATGAGCTAGGCAAAAAAGCATAAAAGCATAGCGTAGGGCCCTGAGCTTCCAAGCTCTCTCGTTTGGTGTTTGTTTGTTTGTGTCACGCCTGGCGCTATCCCGTATCTGTCCCGTACCGTACCGTACCATCAAACACAGCTGGCCACATACAGCTGGCCGCAATATTCAGATAGGGCTTTCAAACGCAAGATCATAACGTGAAGCAACTTGGAAGAATGAGTATGAATGCGAAGTGTATGGGGGAATGCATGTAGGGCGATAGTGCGGGTTCGAATCCCAGGTAATGCGTGAAAAAAAATAGGAGAATTGAAAAATTTATAACATCCCTATTCTTTTTTTTGCCGTCATCAAGGCGGTAGATGGTGTCGTATTACCCTCGACCGTACCTGTCCCGTACCGTGCCGTACAATCAAAGACGGCTGGCCACAATGCATATTCAAATAGGGCTTTCAAATATAAGATTATAACGCGAAGCAACTTGGAAGAATTAGTATGTATGCGAAGTGTATCGGGGGATGAATGCAGGGCGATAGTGCCGGTTCGAATCCCAGGTTATGTCTAAAATCAAAAAGTAGAAATTTAGAAGAATTTATAACATCCCTATGCTTTTTTTTGTCTAGGTCATCAAGGCAAAAAAGCATAGCGTAGGGCCCTGAGCTTCGAAGCTCTCTCGTTAATTATAGAGCCTAGCTATTCACAGCATTGACTTTGTTCCTGGGTTGTAGGTGGCAATTCGAGAATGGGTTTTTGTACCGGTGGGAAAGGAAACGGAGCATACACACAATGCATGTCTACACCATGCCAGTAATAGCAAGTCTGTAATATGCCATGGAACTGGCTCCTGCATGCATATGGTGTGCGTATGGGGGGGGGGGGGGGGGGGGGGAGCATGCCTGAGATTACTTACGGGAAGAAGTATTTTCGAACCAGCGCCTGGAATGTACTGACACCGTCCTGTCATAACCAACATGCAAACATAAACACAAGCAAATGCAGTCAATACACCCAGTATCAAGACATTCGGAGGGCATTATTATCGGATGGCCGGCATAGAGATGCCGTGATCACTTCTCGACAAAACACCATGATTTCCCCGTCCATACACGCCATATACAAATTATACAAATGTCCAGTTGCTGGAATAGAAGTTCACAGACACTTTACAGGGTACACCCACCAAATACGGGATATGTTTACAAAAGAGAGAGGAGTTGGGGGTAGGTAGAACTCTCACCACCAGGTTCAACATAAACATACTTGGTCCGCGTCAGCAATATTGTCGCTTATCTTTTGACAATTTGAACTTAGACTTTGGACATCAACGCGTGCACTTGAAGTGATAAAACTTGGTACGATGGAAGGTAAGGCATAGAATGACAACTAGCTAGAGGAATGTATTGTCCGAGGAAGGGTTCATACTTTTTTCGGTCCTCCTCGTCGCTGCTCTCGGCGCTGGTGACAAATATTTTTTCTTGGGATTGACTCTCTTGCTTTTGCAAGCTCATCTCTCTTCACCTCCGCTGCCTGCCTATTTTCTAAAGAGAAGTCGATCATGACAGCCGCCTTCTCTCTAGGACTTCGCGAGGGCAGCACGACAGCCTGTATGGTTCAAATCAGACGCCGTTCTTTGCCAGATTTTATTTTGAACGACGACGACGACGCGTACAGTACTTGCAAATCTCCACGACGCACTAGATAGTCGGAGCGTTGAGCTGGAGGTAAGGGAGCTGTGATTTCAGCTTGACGAGCGATTCATGAGGTGAGCGATCTCGGCCGTTCAGCAAAATGGAGCTGATTCCGAGTAGCAGATTACTTTCTTGTGCGTCGCGCTACTCTTGCCTGCACAGCGTAACAAGATAATCTATTTTGATGTGGCCCTGTATCAATCAGAATTACCCACCCGTCGCTCTCGAAATCCATTTGAAATCTAGCTAGACCTCTCAGGTACTAGTAAACTAACTTAATAACCAAAATTGGGATGAAATGGGCTGCCAAGTGAGCATTGGCGAAATATAGACAAAGCTGAAAGATAAGCGACAATATCGCTAACGCGGACCAAGTAGAAAATTTACCAGCGAGCCTCGCACAAGGCCAGGACTACATCACAGAGTGGCATATAACGCTCAGGTTAGCCCACGCACAGAACACCGTATTGACGACTGTGCGACTCTCGCATGCATGTGCTCACCAGTGGCGGCGTGGAGTGCTCACAGATCCAGCGGAACCACTTGATACCGGCACCGACGTGAGTGATCTCCTCCTCGATGATCGTGACCATCATGGGCAAGCTGTCCGGGTCCATTTCTGCCAGCCAATCGCGTGTCACTGGCTGAACATCCAGACCACTGGAGAAGCAAGTAAATGATGACAACAACAACACCAGTGTATGCATGATCAAACCCGTGTTTCTCAATACAATTTTAAGCTGGTGGTAACTCGGATGTGCGAACCGTTTACTTTTACTATAATCGATGGTAGTCCAAGCCAAGCAACAGTTGATAGGTTGAGCGAGTGCTGACTACCTCCCCAAGTCTCACAATGCCAGATTTCGTTGAGCAAAACTGTGCTTGGTTATTTTATTGAATCTTATTTTACTAGGGGACTCTCCCAACAGGCAGGGATGCCTTCTCACAGGGAACCCTAAGGTTGAGCTTCACCAAGCAGCCTCAAGGAGCTGCAGTGTTGTACTCACCGTCCTTCATGTACCATGTGCACGACGGCCAGCCGTCCCAGCAGATCCTCGGCCGTGTCGTGTGCATGATCCCAAAGACCTGGCCGAAAGCAACACGCAAAGAAAATCCCAGCGGTTTAGAGTACAGCGTAGGCCCTACAGTGCAAGCCAAACCAGGGATTCTCTTGTCTCATACATACACACGAATACTTCACCTCTCTATGTTCAGTCCCATCCACCCTTCCAGGAAACCCTCTTGATAAAGCGAGACCAAAATAAAATCGAGATTCCCGGGCAGGACCCATGTGAAATTGGTGCGGGCGGGCGAATTTTATTTTTTATTTTTTTTCCCGTGTATGTACATGTACATGCCATGTTGAACTTTTTTTACAGGATTTTCCGGTAATTTTTATTCAATTTTTTTACAGGCAACAGGTACGCGGTTAACCCGTTCAATTTTTCCATATTTCGGCCAACGATGGCCCTGATCTGTACATCAGGGAGTCGTACAAGCCCGGGTTTGTGTGACTCCACGTCACAGATCTACTCACACGATCAGTACTGTACATGTATGAACTGTTCAAAAAAAAAAAAAAATGGCTTTGGCTCGATTTTGGTGCGGGAGGGCCCGGGAATCTCTATTTTTTTTTGGTCTCGCCTAAGCATCCATTTACTTTTGGAGAATCCTTCAAATAAAGTATGAATGAACGAATTAACCCTTTGAGGGTCGAACTATTTTCGGAGAAAGTGCATATTTCGGAAGATTCACATAGAATGTGTTTTATCTTGAAAACTATAAGTATTTGTAAATACAGATCCAACATTTTCTGAAAGGTTTTGTTGATCTGAATTCAATAACCATGGCCTCAGCTGTGTAGAAGGTGCCAAAATTGGCAACGTGTCCAGCAGAACAACTATAATGCTTTATACGCACATCAGACTCATTTTGCATGGTTATGTGGCAGTTCTCTGACATATGTACAGTTGTACACAGTGTTTGTCACCAAGATGTTACCTGCAGAGAACGCAAGTTGACTGAAGCATCTACGCGAAGTGCTGTTTATTCCAGAGGCAAGAACAAGAGAGTAGCACCATTAAGGCCTGTGTTCGCAATGTGTATAGTCAAACTTCGAGCGCTCCGCACGGCATTTTTTATACGCGCGACCCACACCTTTTTTGACACCCACGTCGAGGTGAGAATCTCCGTGATCTGGCTGCAAAGTTTGGGCCAAGCGCGACCGGGTTTGCCATCTGAAATCAACGTTTCGCTACGACTTGTCAAATGTAGGTCGAATTCGACCTATGAACCCTCAAAGCCTTAATGAATGAATGTCATAGCTCACCATTGTGCACAGGGTTAGCTCCAAAGTGAGATCCGAGTGCCACCAGCCGTGAGTTCAGCAGGTCAAAATGCTGTGAAACGCACGCACACACACACGTACACATAAGCATGCCGAATGCATCTGATATGTGCGCCCCCCCCCCCCCCCCCCCTAGTATTCATAGCCCATGGCTTGCTCTATGCAGGACACTTGATGGGTTTACTGCACAACTAAGGCATGAATTTGGCCTTACATACCTTGGATTCGTCATCAGCAACCTTTGCCCATTCCGCAAAGAACTCCGTAGGCAGTGGCGTCTTGTCGTCGCCAACTGTGAAGTCTGAGAAGCGTGCCACAATATCCCAACTCAGGTCCACCGCCCACAGTTCAATGTTGCACAGGGCGTGCAGCAGGTTGATAACTCCTTGCTATAATACACGCACACACAAGCACATACACACACACGGACACACACACACACAAACACACGCGCGCGCGCGCGTACAGCAGCAGCAAGCGATAGGTAACGGAAGTTAAGTCAGGTAATGGTGTTGCTCTTCATGAAATGGCTGACACAAGATTGAACATTCTACTTCACTCCTCCCCGCATCCAGTTATGTTGTGCAGACACATAGTATGCACAGAGCAAATGTGCTAACACGAGTCGTTCTCTGTGCGGCAGTCAAACTTCAAAGTACGAAAACCTCAAAAACCGTCTGACCAGGGAGTTGTGAAGTCTTTATGAGGTGCCACGATATAATAGAGAGGTCCAGTGACTCCTCACAAACTCATACACAAAATCGACTTGGAGAATTTGTTTCTAAAATGCGCGATACGCTACTGAGGTTCAGTGACCCATCGACATCGTAAACAAAGAGTGCTAACAACGATCGCCACTGTCTCCACAGGTGCTGCACTACAGTACTACAGCAGTGGCCAGAGAAATCCAACCTCATGAATAAAACAGTGCCAGGCGTTACGCAGCCCTAGCACTACACATACTGGTCTGTGCACTCGAACGCGACGCTGCATTGCGCCTCCTTTCTTGACAGGGTCCCATGCTTAATCAGGGCAGTTGGATCTCCGAGCTCCTAACGAGTTAATTAAACAGCAGCCAGCACCCATGTACAGTACATGAGTGCAGTCTACAGCTATGAGATCTCAATGGGACTCTAACCCAGACCCGACCCAGTGCCTCATTTCTGTGTAAAACAAATGAGCCCCTGAACCTCGCCAGATATCGCACAATGCAAATCAACAAACAAACGGGAGGATGTGACGTCACAACACACCACTCCAACCAGTGCTTTCAAGCAGCCCGGCTAGCTCAGTCGGTAGAGCATGAGACTCTTAATCTCAGGGTCGTGGGTTCGAGCCCCACGTTGGGCGCTTTATTTTTTTGTCTCTTGCTTACACGTACCGATATTGCATTTCAACACCATACACGCACGCAGGCAGTTTTTCACAACTTTGGAAAGTCTTTTCTAGTCTTTGGGTATTTCTCAATTCCATTGGGCTTCTCCTTCCTCAGACTTCTTCTCGGATACTAATTTCAGAGATTTTAGGTGATCAATATTTTCGGTGTGAGGGCAAAAGGCCAGGTTAGGTGAACGGAAATTGTAAGTACAGAGAAGCAGTTCCCTATTGGATTATGTGTGTCAGTGTTTGTTCGGTGTATTGATATTTTGGGTATGAAACAGATGCACCGAAAGTACCGAAAATAAAAGTATACCGAGAATTTGTGAAATTACAGTACTTGTTATTCGCTACTTCGAAGCTGCGCTGCATCTGCCACCCTGGTGTAATCAGGCATGGTGGTGGCCTGGCACGAGCGAAACTTCTCTTTTGTAAGCTGGTTGTTTTTCTCAACACAATGGTAAGCCAGTGGTAACGTGTATGTGCGAACTGTACTTACTTACTGCGAAGCCGGAATGAAGGCAGGTTTGTAGGATTCTGAAAGACTTTGGTGGTTGCCAGGTGACACGTTTGGGAATTTCAGATGCCTGTGTCCTGCCCGGGACTGTACAAATGCTGCCCTGAACAGGCCCAGCGGAACCGATCCTCTGATTGGTCAGGCCAGCGCCGGACCAACTTTCAACACAAGCTGTATCACTTTGCTCTTGCCCGTACAACCCGTGAAAAAAACTTTCTGGCCACCAGCGTATGTTCACTGCTGATGAGGTCATGTGCACCCACCATAATATCATACACAACGTATGACCGGCTATGGTACGGCCGGATCAACCAAAAACTGTTAATTTTGTTTTCGTGTTTGTTTCAAATCTTTATTTTCAAGATGGCCTTTGGCCAATAAGAGTTGTTGTTGTTGTCGTTGCTCACTCAGTACATTGCGTTACGTTACCCATAAAAGTCATGTGGTGTACTACTGTAGTACGCATATACAAACCAAGGCAATTCATTGAAGGCAGAACAAGGAAGGAAAAACTATTTAATGCAAACGTGGATTTGACCCACAGTAGCCAGTGCAGGCTAAATTTTATTTTTCAAGGAAACCCTTCGAAAATGGTACCAATCGATTCAGCATGGCATTTTCATTCCTCCTGCAAAGTTTCAGCTGATTTGGAGTCATGACAATGACGCTATGGCGATTTGAAGATCGAAAAACTTCACTTTTGTTTGTCAAGAAGAAAGACCATGATCGCACACAAATCATACAACCCGTGTGGCACAATGATTTTTGAACGAAGTTGATCCGCGGACCCCGTGCTTCGCGCATGCATGCATGCATACTGCATGCACACACGCAGTACAGAGGCTTTTTTGAACGCGGATATGTAGTTCTTCGTCTTCTTCGAAATGTCTTCCAAATGCGTGGTGCTGGTGTTGTTCTCAGCTTCGTCAAGGCAGAATGCAGCTGCATGTGATGCTCCTGTGTGTTCATGCATGTTCTCTTTTCGCGTCTCGACATTGTAGCGTCCAGACTCTGCTCGACTGGAGAAGATTGAGGAGACTATGCTTTGATCCACATGGAAAATCGATGAAATTTGGTAATTATCGTCGGGCGCTAAAAAGCGCTGGGGAGCATGGGGCTAAAACTTCGTAGCAGTCATCCCTACCATGACAGGCATCGACTGGTATATGTTCCATTCTGTTCCCAACTACTACGGGTAGTCTGCGAAGCTTTCTTCTTCGCCGATTCTCGGACAGATCGTACGTCTTCGCACTGTATCTCTCGTCTCCCTCAACGGATCAAAACACGGTTTTCGCCAGGACGAACACAAACCCCCAGATTTCGCGGCGGCAACAACTTCGAGTAGGGAAAAGCTAGCAGCTAACCAGGAATCACCAAAAAACACGTGTAATACTCAGTGTGATTTGCGACAGCTGTCATTGTGCCGTCGCACCATGCATGTACCATGCACGGGAATGGAACACGGATGAGTCGTTTTATTACGACAGCCTGCACTGGCTACCCACAGCCCCCGGGAATAAGTGCATTCACCAGAGATCTACCCCCCCCCCCCTCACTTGAATGACATCAGTCCGCCGGATGTCCTCGGCTCCCAAAGCTAAGCTCAGGGGGGGGGGGGGACAAACACAGTCTGTTGTTTGACACACGCTTACTTTGGATTTTGACTTCTTGTAGCGGAGTTTACTGCTGGGCAAGACTACGATGTCATCGCGACGCGGCGGCTGGTCCGGCGGCTGACACCGGCCCACTTGTGTGACACCACCGCTTTGCCAGTCACTGTACAGTGAGCGGGAGAGACGCACCTGCACGGGACAGGAGCACAAACATACCGTGTTACCCCCGATTGTAAGTCGCATCCCCATTTTCAGGTCCATGTTATATCGTTGCAATTATATTCACTTCAGTGGTACAGCCAGACCTCGCCTATCCGGTCCTCTTTTATCCGGATCCCTCGCCATCCGGATGAAAGTCGTTGGTTGCCGATTTACAGCATGTGTCATGCATACACACAGTACGTGTGTTCGATTATCCGGTTCCCTCGCCTATCCGGACATTTTGTGGAAAACGGATGTGTGCGGTTAATGCTCGATTGTTGGCCCTGAAGTTTAGTGTAAAAAGGTGTAAGACTTATATTCAGGGAAATACGGTGCACATTAACATGAAGAAACACTGTCACGACTGCATGTAGGACTCAAAGCAGGTGCCTTCACTAGCGTAGGTCCGTGATGCTGCAAACACTAAACACTGAGCTCAGCTGGACTGGTAGCCCATGATGGAATGTGTTTGAGAAAGCTATTTTCAAAGTAGCACTATACACAGTTATATACACTAAAGTACACAGTTATATACACTACTAGCAGCACCCGGCCAGCGTTGCCTGGCCGAACGTGGCATGCGGGTGAAGCAAGTACATGAACAGCACACGTGCTCAGCACGTGGTGGTGGCTACACGATTCGCACGCTTCGCGTGCTCAGTGCTTCTGTGGCTGCTTCCGCTAGCTACACGATTCGCACGCTTCGCGTGCTCAGTGCTTCTGCGGCCGCTAGCTACACTGTTCGCACGCTTCGCGTGCTCAGGGCAGCGCTGCTCCGCAGCGAACACACAGACAACCACACAGACAAACACACGTCACAGGTGCCTCTTCTTTATAGTATATATACACAGTTACACTGTACACACAATCCGTCTTCAGCGAACAGCCAAAGTGGCCATTTCAAGACAAGGGCACGTGGAGCACACGCGCTCAAATGCACCGATACGATGTATGTTGAATCAATGTTTGATGCCTGGCATTGGCAGTCTCTAAGACAGGTGGTCTTTAAGACAGGTGGTCCCGTGAACAATCGTGCAGTACTCCAGTGACCTATGTGATCGAATCCATGTGTTCAATGCATTCTAGGTTGCTAACATAACAAACCAGACCAGACACGGTATGGACTCATGATTGTATGTAGGTGTGAACAAGTTAGTTTCTGGCAATGTTGTGGTGTTTGGTTTCCGCCCAACATTGTCGATCTGCATGTTTGCACTAGCGTGCAGCTGAACCAACGCAGCTGAACCAACGCAGCCGAACCAACGTGCCTTGCAATGCTTTGCTAGGCTTTTCTTTCACTGTATCTTTTTGGTCACATATAATACCGTACACTTTTCTTACTCAACAGAATCTTAGAACGAAGAAGGAACGGTCGGTTGTTGTCTTTGGCGGTGTGTCGGATCATAGTGCATGCTACTAGACGCCATTCGGTTACAGCACTTTTTGGTGCCGAAACCCGGGACTCAGGAGTTTGTGTTGTAACTCGGATTAGTCGGGCGAATTGGGTAGCAGTGCGAGATGGCCAAAGTCGAATGCTTCTTGAGACCGTTCCGCGGGGGTCGGGACGACCTGAGCGAATTCTGGGCGAAGTTCTCAGTTGTCGCGGACTTGCAGAAGTGGGACTCGGACGAAAAGAAGATGGCGAATCTACCGCTCTATCTCGAGGGTGAGGCGTTCACCGTGTGGAACGAGATGGCGGCAGCGGATAAGAAGAAGCCGGCCGATGTGAAAGCGAAGCTGACCGCCGCTTTTGGGATGGCACCGGATCAAGCATACTCGATGTTTACGTCCAGGATCTTGCGAGGAGACGAGTCGGTGGACAACTTCGCAGCGGACTTGAAGAGGCTTCTCACCTTGTCTGGTGAGCAGGTTGATGCTGATGGGAAGAATAAAATAGTGATCGGGCAGTTTCTCTCCGGGCTCCCCTCTCAGTTTGCGAAGGAGCTCCGTATGAGTGGAAAAACGGACACCATCGACGATTGCGTGGAGTACGTCAGGCGGCTTAGAAGCGTGGAGCGATCGATGAAGCCCGGTGTGGCAGCAGTGAGCTACGGTGCTCTAGACGATCGGGCTCCATCAGGCTCTTCCAGGATGACCGCTGCAGCAGGTGCAGGTCGCGACTCCGCAAGACGTGTCCTGTGTTACAAGTGTGGTCAAGTTGGCCACTTCAAGCGGAACTGCCCTGCGAGCACGAGTAGTGGCACTGGTAGCCACAAGCAAGCCAAACACAGTCAGCTGACGTGTTTATTCTGCGACGAGGCTGGGCATATGATGAGAGATTGTGCGGAGTTCAAGGCCTTCAAGCAGAAGAAGCAGCGGGGTGGGAGTGCAGCCGCTGCTCCTGTGCACTCTGGTGATCATGGTGACTCCAAGGTGTTATGCCTGAGCAGTGGAGGTGACAGTCTGCCACGGATCCTTGTGGACATCAAACGGTCCGGCGGTCCAAGCAAGCGTGTAGTAGCTGCTGTGGACACCTGTGCATCCCGCTCCCTTGTAGCTAGCGCCCTGGCAACCGACCTAGCTTTGGATATCAGGCCTACGTCATCGACAATTAATGCGATCGATGGCAGTCCGGTGGATGTCCGTGGCGTCGTGGAGTGTACAATCTCACGGCTGGATAGTGCTGTGGTTCGCCTACGTGAGACCGAGACTGACATGCTGGTGGTGGACGACCTGTCTGTCGTTGAGGCTGATGTGCTGATTGGAGTTAACAGCATCGCGACTCTGGGTGGTGTGCATATGCAGTATGACGCAGGAGAACTGGTGGGGGTTGTATTCGGGACCGTCAGTGCTGCATGCCCATTGGTGCTGGCGTCGAGCACCCCAGATGAGCAACCATCACGCCCCGAGTCGGAAGCACGAGCCGTCGCTGAAGACTTTCACCACGCGGACGTGGAGAAGCTCAGCAATGGCGATGTTGTGCTGCGGGCATCAGATATGATCCTCCGGTGGAGTACGGCTGACAAGGCGTGGGAGGTGCAGTGGCAATGGGCGGACAAGACGGAGCCGACTATGTGCATCGGGTCAGGCCTTGGAGAGTACCCACGATCCAAGCTCTCCAAGGAGCAGGAACAGCTATTTGGAGATGAGGTTGAAAAATGGCTCGGCAACGGCTGGCTAGTGAAGCATGACGTCGAGAAGCATGGTGAGCCGAGATGTGTGCTGCCTCTGCTCGCTGCTACGCAGGAGCATAAGGCATCAACGCCAGTTCGGCCCTGCCTCGACTACCGGCTCCTCAACCAGAAGCTGACGTCGCACCCTGGCACCGACGCTCCGGCATGTGGCGAGACGCTACGGAGGTGGCGTCAAGCGGGCGCTCCGCAAGCGTATCAGCTGCTGGATATCAGCAAAGCGTACCTACAGGTACGCATTCATCCCGATTTGTGGCGTTATCAGTGCGTGGTGTGGCGTGGCGAAGTGTACGTCCTGGAGCGGATGGGCTTCGGGCTGTCCGTGGCTCCAAAGGCAATGGACTTGATCGTGAAGTGGGCCACGCGTGATCTCGCTGGCGTAGACAACTACGTGGATGATCTCTACGTCCCAGAGCAGCTCGTCGACCGCACCAAGTCGCGGCTCCTGGAGTATGGCCTGCCAACCAAACCGGCTGAGCGAGCCGTGAGTGCGCGTGTGCTAGGTCTGCAACTTCAGGCTGATGACGAGGGGAGTGTGTCGTGGACGCGTCGCGAAGGTGTGTCTCTACAGCTACCCGACAAACCAACGAAGCGCGAACTGTTTAGTTGGTGTGGCAGAGTGATTGGGCACTACCCTGTGTGTGCCTGGCTGCGCCCATCGTGTTCGTATGTCAAGCGCCTTGCCTGCACGTCAGAGGTGGCATGGGATCAGGCTGTACCGGATGCTGTCTTGAAGTGTTGCCGCGACATTGTTCACCGCCTGTGCAATGATGATCCCGTTAGCGGAGTGTGGTACGCTGACCCAACGATGGGTACGTGGCGAGCGTATTGTGACGCGTCCAACCTGGCAATTGCCACGGTGCTCACGCAGGATGGCAAGGTTGTCGAGGATGGTTCATGGTTGCGAGACAAAGCAGACAAGCGTCATATCAATGTGGCGGAGCTCGAGTCGTCTCTGAAGGCGCTGGATCTGGCCATCCGGTGGGACGTCAAGAACCTGACCATCGTGACCGACTCGAAGACGGTTGCTGGTTGGTTGCGCTCGGTCTCGCAGAATACTCATCGCGTGAAGGTCGGGGGTCTCCACGAGTCTCTCGTCCGTCTCCGCCTGCAGATGTTTCAGGACACTGTGGCTGCTGCTGGCATGACGGTGTCCGTGGAGTGGGTCCCCTCGGAGTCGAACGTTGCAGATCGGCTCACCCGCGTGCCGACCTCATGGCCTCCCTGTCGGGAGGAAGCAGGTGAAATCGCAGCAGCGCTACCAGCAAGCTCTATGAAGGGGCCAACGTCGATGCGGTCTATCCGCGGGTGCCAAGCGGTAGATGCGGATGTGCAGCTGACAGTGACACAGCTACAGGATGGAAAGCAAGTGACGAGCCAGCTGTACAAGAAATCAAAGGGTCAGCTGCGTGTTATTGATGGCGTCCTGTACCTCAGTCGTGTGGACCCCGTCGATGGTGATGTGATTGTACCGGTCCTGCCTACTGCACTGCAGAGTGAAGCCGTCGGTGCTGCTCACCGCAACACCGGACATGGTAACTGGGAGACCATGTGGGGCAGTCTTCGGAAGTGCTGTCATTTCCCACAGATGGCGCAACGCTGCCAGGAAGTCGTCCGAGACTGCGGGACGTGCCGTGCAGCGAACCCGTCGCGAGGAGAGCCCAACCCTCCAGCCGCGAGAAGCGACCTACCAACCAGGCCGTGGGAAGTCATCCAGATTGATACGTTAGAGCTGGGACCCAGCCGCAGTAGTTCCTACCATTGTGTCCTCGTGTGTGTGGACATGTTCACACGGTGGGTGGAAGTCGTACCCCTAGCCCGCCATGATGGTGTCAGTGTCGCGGAGGCGCTTGTTGGTATTTGCACCCGGTTTGGCCCACCAAGCGTAATTCGATGTGACAACGGCACGGAGTTTGTTAACTGTGTGGTGTCGTCTCTGCTATCGATATTCGGCGTACATGTGAGGCATGGAGCTGTGCGCCACCCTCAGAGCCAAGGGGGAGCCGAGCGCTTCAATCGCACGCTGCTGGGTCTTATCCGCAAAGTGGTCGAGTACAGCAGCGATTGGCAGACAGAGCTGAGCATGCTGCTCTACTACTACAGGGTGCGGCCGCACAGTGCTACTGGGATTTCGCCATGCGCCGCAATGATGGGATGGGAACCACGCAACCTCCTGGTCGAGCGCGAGGAAGAAGACCTCAGTTTGTCAAGCTGGGTTGAAAGCTTGGCAGAGAAGACGGCACGTGTGCGAGACCTCGTAAACGAAGAGCTCTCTCGGAACGACACAGAGAGCGTGATCGAAGGAGCAGAGTACAGCGTAGGGGATGCGGTGCTGTTACGTCGGCCTTCCCGGAGCCGCAAATGCCTGGCACCGTACGAGCCTGGGTGGCGCATCGTTCGCGTTGTGTCGCCGTCGACAGTTGTCATCACCCGGGCTGCTGATCCACACTCAGCGGAGAAGATTGTCAACGTGGAGATCATCAAGAGGGATGTCGCCCGTGACATGGCCCAACCAACAGCGCCGATGGACGACAGTGCAGCGGCTACAGATGGTGGTTATCTGTACCAGCCAGCATCAGTGCTGCCAGGCCCTGAGCCCAACATAGGGGATGGCGGCATCCGCATGTCACTGCGAGACAGATCTGCCATTAGGCCACCACAGCGCTATGGCTCCTGAAACTGTATGTGTGCCGTGTTATCAGTCTACCTTGGCGCGTGCTTAGTTAGGAGCAAGCTAGCAAATGCAAGACCCATTACGCATTTTGCTGTTCTCTTGTTTAGCTGTTGGTGGAGTGTTGTTCTTTTCTTTGGAGAACCTTAGTTCTACGTTTTAGTGCAAGTTCCCTGTTTTGTTGTGTTACCAGGGGGGAATGTGTGATCGAATCCATGTGTTCAATGCATTCTAGGTTGCTAACATAACAAACCAGACCAGACACGGTATGGACTCATGATTGTATGTAGGTGTGAACAAGTTAGTTTCTGGCAATGTTGTGGTGTTTGGTTTCCGCCCAACATTGTCGATCTGCATGTTTGCACTAGCGTGCAGCTGAACCAACGCAGCTGAACCAACGCAGCCGAACCAACGTGCCTTGCAATGCTTTGCTAGGCTTTTCTTTCACTGTATCTTTTTGGTCACATATAATACTGTACACTTTTCTTACTCAACAGAATCTTAGAACGAAGAAGGAACGGTCGGTTGTTGTCTTTGGCGGTGTGTCGGATCATAGTGCATGCTACTAGACGCCATTCGGTTACACCTAGGCCACCAGGCCAGTCTAGCCTATATGCCAAATATAGGACGTCATGCATCGCTGGACTGTAGGCACACTATGGTACGAATTGGCACACGCCAGAAACAACTTCTATTAGTAGCATCTGCACGCTCGGAGGATCTCGACTTACTTTCTCGGCCAAGTCCACGGTGTTGAGGACTTGTACGGCACGGTGAGACAGGGTGTTTGTGTCAGCAGAGGGTGTGGTATCGACACTGGCAGTAGCCTCGGCAGCAGACGAAGATGGGCCTCTGCTATCTAGGTATGCAGATATAGCACACAGTGAAAGAAAAAGTGGGTGTATACCCGTAAGCGCTTTGGAGGTATATCTTCAAGAATCAATGAATTTCATAACTGATTAAACGGCTGTGATTAAAGGGGAAGTGCATCGATTTTTCAAGTAGGGCTCAGATGAAAGACAATTGGATATCGGTTCCGATGGTATATCTCTCGCTTGCGTACGGCAAGGGAAACTTGCCATATCGCCGATTTCCTGATCCCGTTTCCATGGCGACTACAGGTGATGACGCACATTCTGCTTAGCTCCGTGAGAGAGAAGGTCGATCACTGCAGAATTGTGTCATTTTCAGTTGTCTTCTTGTATTCACGAAGTGAAAGAAGTACTGTGTTCAAGGCTGTTAGTGCCGTGAACTGTTTATTAGTAGTCCTCTCTCTCCGTTGTGTACTGGGACGTGACACCGACAGGGGAAAGCTGGAGTGCGGAAACGTTAGCTGGCTAGCGAAAATCGTGACGAACCAAGTGCTGAAATCTTGGTTGGGACAAATCAAACGTTCAGCATTTACCTCAACCAAGGACCATGCCGTTTGCTCTTTCCACTTCCTGAAGATGGATGCGCTGCCTGCTGGAGACTCTCCTATCTCTCGTAACATCTTCTGAAGCCAGGTGAGACGACGAGTAGCGGAGATTAGCGAACGAAATAATGTCGTGTGTTTTGAAATTTTGGCTGAACATTTCTCAGGAGAGATGGCGAATACCAAGCATCTTCTCCAAGTCTAGAGAAACCATTTCGTAGGCTACATCCCGCCTAGGGAAATGCAGGAGATGGCCTGGCTGGGGAGGACACACTTGGAGGAGAACGAAGTAAGTGATCTTGTATATGTTGTTCTTTGGTATTGCAATCTTATGTTTGACGAACATACGGCATGGTGCATAGTTGGTCGTTGAGTGCCTGCATGTGCATGTGTAAGTGTGTGCTGATAAACACTTCCTATGCAAGAATCTGACACTCATGCTCTCTTTCTTTCTTGCAGTATGTGCGCACGTGTGTGTGTGTGTGTGAGAGAGAGAGAGTGTGTGTGTGTGCAGGAGCAGCGTGGAGCATGCCAGTGTGATCGCTGTGGCCGTTGCTTTCTTAGCTGTGGCGTTCTTGCCCGTCACAAGTGTGTGGCTCAGCCCACCAACGACAGTGGAGCCGTGTTGTGGTGAATACTGTGTGTCCTGCGACCGCTGCTTCCGTTCGGTCCAGGGCAGGAATAGACACCGCTGCTGAAGCTCTCCCCGGCCGCACGTCAGTCTCGTGGCAGATGACCCAAACTCTCATTTTGTGTGTATGTGTATGTGTGTGTATGTGTGTGTGTGTGTGTGTGTGTGTGTGTGTGTGTGTGTGTGTGTGGTGTATGTATATGTATGTGTGTTGCTCCCTACGTAGACAAACTCTTGTTTTTGTGTCCCGGGCGCCATGGGGCGGCGTTCTCCCATTCTCTCTCCACTGCCCCTCCGGGCCCACGTGGCAGTGACTCGACAGGGCAGGACAAGTGTGTGTATGGTGCATTTTGTGTGCTGGCATGTCTGTATAAATATGTTGGACAGGAATTTGTTCACCCACAACGTTCACGGAAAACCATGCTAGGTGTTGCTGGAACGTATGGAGTCTGCGAGCAATTACAATAACTTACGTCATGTCACAACAAAGAACGGTGCAGTGTTTGACCATCATGTAAACACGATGGTGATGGTACCTCACCTAACTAAGCGGCTACCCATGAAGCTAGAAAGAACATCAGGTCAACAGAATTTTACCAGAGGAAAGCATATATTGCCCGAACTTCTTCATATGAAATAAATAATACCCTTCTCCATGGAGACAACATGCAGATGAAGTGTATGGACAAATAATATATAAATAGGCCATTCATTGAGGGCATGGAATGATCTCTACGTGTAGATTGGATAGACACATGCACGTCTGCAAGGAAAGCATTTGTTCCTGGGTTAGTTCATGGGCTGATTGAGTTCACATGGACTAAGTTCATACATGCCATCTCTCCTGAGATATGTTCAGCCAAAATTTCAAAACATACGACATTATTTCGTTCGGTTATCTCCGCTACTCGTCGTCTCACCTGGCTTCAGAAGATGTTACGAGAGATAGGAGAGTCTCCAGCAGGCAGCGCATCCATCTTCAGGAAGTGGAAAGAGCAAACGGCATGGTCCTTGGTTGAGGTAAATGCTGAACGTTTGATTTGTCCCAACCAAGATTTCAGCACTTGGTTAGTCACGATTTTCGCTTGCCAGCTAACGTCTCCGCACTCCAGCTTTCCCCTGTCGGTGTCACGTCCCAGTACACAACGGAGAGAGAGGACTACTAATAAACAGTTCACGGCACTAACAGCCTTGAACACAGTACTTCTTTCACTTCGTGAATACAAGAAGACAACTGAAAATGACACAATTCTGCAGTGATCGACCTTCTCTCTCACGGAGCTAAGCAGAATGTGCGTCATCACCTGTAGTCGCCATGGAAACGGGATCAGGAAATCGGCGATATGGCAAGTTTCCCTTGCCGTACGCAAGCGAGAGATATACCATCGGAACCGATATCCAATTGTCTTTCATCTGAGCCCTACTTGAAAAATCGATGCACTTCCCCTTTAAAAGTACTCCAATTGAATCAGCCCTGAAGAACACATGAGGACTAGAACACGTGGCAGTAGAGCACACCTTGAGACAGTCCCCTACAGACTAGGCTAGAGGCACAACATTCGCACACGTGTACACCTACAAAGTGAGGGCAGCGGTGGATATTTCCTCGAGCGCTTGCGTTTCTCACTTTCTACCATAAGTGACAATGGACAACCCCTAGAGAGTCAAATACACACATAGCGGCGGTGGTCTAACCTGCAGTACGGGCAGACGGCTTCTCACGTGCATACGGCGTGTCACTTTTCACGTAGACCTCACTGTCCACGACCACAACTTCATACGTGTCTTGCTGTAGTCAGAAAATGAACAAAAAAACAGGGCTGAATCGATTGTGTCTATAACTCGAATATCGATCGTTATGCGCAAAATCAATAATCGTTTGCATTCCGCCACTTGTCAAGCAATGTAAGTTGTCATGAGTTGCATACAGATCATGTTTTTTTCTAATATCACCCGTGGCAGATCTACTCCAGGGATGAATTTATCCTGTATCGCATCGCAGTTTGCGATGCAAAATCGATCTAACTGCTACTCAAAATTCACCGTGACTCGCAGAAAATTGCGATACATACAGACTATCCATGCCTAGCCTCCCCTGTCCAAGTAACACGTATACAGGGCAGTGTAGGTGGTGCAGGTACTCTCAATCTGCATGCGTGCACATGTATGCTTCAGTCTTTTTTTTGCAAATTGGCTTTCAGGCATCACTCTCAAGAAGGACAATGTTGTAAACACCCAACCTTCAAAGAAAAATGCTAATCAAAATCAAAGACGGCTACACAATTGTGATTTCATATAGCAGAAACTGCTATGCAAAAATATGACAATAAATTCATCCCTGTACTCTGAACGGCATCTTGCTGTTTCGGAAGCATTGCACATTCGTAAGCTACCCCCTGAGCTGTGTGTTCAAAAAGAGAATGCGATAGCATTCCATAACGATTTTTTGTTGCTTTTAAAACAAGCGTGTACGCACTACTCGTACAGGATTCATGATCGATCGCGGACAGTCCGAGTCGATCAGCATGTAGCGCGCGTTCACACAATCTACATGAACTTCAGGCTACCAGTCTGTGCACCAGCTCCGGAAAAGTCGTCTAAACGTTGCACTTTTATTTTCCAAAATCGGCCCGCTTGGGAGCTTTTCCTTGGCATGTCTTAATACTTCGCGAAATTAGCGCTGATGGATGACACCATGACCTTCTCCTTTGTTCTCCCTCCCATGAGTCTTCGTGCTCTTGTAGTGCTTGAATTCCATTCTGATACTTATTCTCTGCCCTCAGTAATTTGAAGAAATGACACAGAGCTGAGGTATCGTTCGTCGTTTCCGTTTCCGTCGCCTCGCCCTGATTTTGGTTGAAAGTGGCATAATTTCGTGCCGTTGGATTTATCACCACTTTCGCTATTTCCTGTTTGGATATCAGGAGAGCGTCATTGCTCGGGAGCAAGTCCTCAAATGCAGTAAGGAAGTGTGTAGTGTCGATGGGTGCGATCAGAATGCTGCCACATTCTACGGCTCACAGAAGGCATGCGGGATCGACCAAAGCGTGGTGCCAGCGCGGGTCTGGTGTGGGCATGTCATGTGATCCCAAGTGCTAGTAAGCACCAATCACGTGTGCACACACATCAGGTCCGGCTCCGGTGTATTCCAGAGGACGGAGCAGAGAAAAGTAAAAAAAACAACACCCACACATGCACCCCGATATACACACAGACAGACAGACAGGCATACAGACAGACACACACACACATAGAGACAGACAGACACACACACATAGAGACAGACAGACACACACACACACACACATAGAGACAGACCTGTAAGCCCATGGATGATCGGCCAGTTGCCAGCGAGAAATCAAACTCATGCCAGGGGCACATGACGCAGGACTCTCCGTTGAAATCCTCAATGTCACCCAGCTCCAGTGGTCCACCTGAAAACACACCACACACACACACACACACACACACACACACACACACACACACACACACACACACACACACACACACACACCACACACACACCACACACACACACGCGCGTGCGCGCACACACAGTTAAATGTCTGCTTGGTCGACTGCTGGCGCACAAGATTCATATCGGACAAGGTGGGCATTAGGGGCGGCAGCACATAGCTGAGATTGGGGAGGGCCGTTGGGTGTGTTACCGGTGATGCGCGGGGATGGCTGGCAATAGAGAAATTAGAAATGTGTTTGGCGATACCAGACTGCAAGTCCTGAACTCTGTGCAGTTCAGGCCTTCCCTACTGAGTACCGTTAGCACAGCGCATGCACACATGATACAGATCTTGTACTCGATTGCACAGAGGAGCAGGGCCTCTGTGATAATAACACACTGGGTGGGATGCCTCTCTGGAAGGAATAGCCACGCCGTGTCCAGGGGTGTCGGAGGGTATGTTATGGTGGTACGGTCAGCCACCTGAAGTACAACTTACTCGTGGGGTTGCGGTGGCTCCTCTGAAATTTTTCGAAATTTAGACCCCAGATCAGTGCAGCTTATTAATTCAGAGGGTATCCAGGATGAAGAGTGATACGGTCAATACCGTAGTGATCGTGACCGTAGTGTGTCTGTCTGACGCCTCTGCTTGTTCCAACACCTGCCCTCCCACTGATGTATGTGTGCGGATGGCAATACGCCGTCCACTGAGCAGTGTATATAAGCGGGTACCCATGAGCGTTTGCTTTGATAGCCAAAACTTCCAAGTTATCTCACCTTCGTGTGGACACGTGGCATCCATAGAGTAGAATTTCCCGTCATGATAGAACAGAGCCATGTCATCCTGTCCACTCTGCTTTGAGTAGAACTTGGTACACTTGGATGCTGTCAGCTCTGACTCAGTGCCCAGTAGCTGCCAGCACGTGGCTTTGACGGCTGCGCGCAAACTTTCCAGCAGGCGAATGTGCTCCTCTTCGCTGCCAGGACTAGCACGTAATTGCGAAGCCCCCTCCATTCTCGGAGAAGCACCAGTGCACGAAGTAGACGTTGACGCACTACTCGAATGAAATTGAGCAAAGGGAGCACTGGTAGGAGAGACGGTGCCAAGTGACGACCCACGTAATGGTATTGAGAGAAATGGATGTGCTTTGCCCGTCCACTGCCTCACAAGATTGCTGGCAAGCCGCGACACAACGTACACCATCACTTGAATGACTGTTACAGTGTATTACTAGCAGATGACTGTAGTCAAGTTACTGAGTTCACAGGGAAAGACAGCTCACGTACTTCATTGGCAGAATGAATGAAAACTACAGGAGCGCCTCAGACAACGACAGACTGAATATTAACATACCAGAGAATTCTGCCTCAACACAATCCTATACGGGAAGATAGAAAACTGCTCCAGACACTTCTCCGATCAGAAGCACAAAATAAAACTCTGTGCTGCACAAAAACAGCAAAGAAAGACATAACATTTTCAAAGCTGCTGCAGGATCTAGGATGGACGCTTCGATGACGCCATATTCGCAACCATGGATACAAGCAGGGAGTCGTAAAAGCCCGGGAGAGGACACGGCACACATTCCCAGAAAACATCTTTGCCTCGCGCTGCCGGGGAACGCTGCCAGGGAACGGTGTTGCGAGGCAAGGAAATTATTATTTTCGAAAATTGTGATGTCTTCTTGAAATACTAATTGGAACATTCTCCGATTTCTCTTAGAGCACGGAGACGATTGCTCCGTCGAGTCTTCTGATCTCTATTTTCATCCTCAATTCTTCCAGCTGCCTCACTCATTCTCTCTCAGTTTATCAAAGTTAATTTATTCTGAGGCGATGGAAATGCAAGATAAATCCCTAATTGTACTTCACTTTTATTTGAGTTGGGGTGAACGAAATGAGATTTGTGGGAAATGACGCCACTTCCCGTGTTAGCCGCTGGTCGTATCATACAGCTCATATTCCATTGCAGGTGATGGGCGAACGTTCGTGTTGAGATCCGCTGAGCTTCCTCGTACTCGTGGAGTTGAATTTGTTGCAGAAATAAATTGCACTGAATTGCAGTCAAATGGTTGTGAATGAAACGAGATTTGTGGAAAATGACGCCACTTCCCGTGTTAGCCATTCATACAGCCCATATTCCATTGCAGGTGATGGGCGAACGTTCGTGTTGAGATCCGCTGAGCTTCCTCGTACTCGTGGAGTTGAATTTGTGGCAGAAATTGCACTGAATTGCAGTCAAATGGTTGTGAATGAAACGAGATTTGTGGAAAATGACGCCACTTCCCGTGTTAGCCGCTGGTCGTATCATACAGCCCATATTCCATTGCAGGTGATGGGCGAAAGTTCTTGTGGAGATCCGCTGAGCTTCCTCGGCGTACTCGTGGATTTATGAATTTGTGTCAGAAATTGCACTGAAATTGCAGTCGAGTGGACTTCTGTGCGTGTATTGTGAGTGAATCGCAACGGCTCCCTTCCTTCAGCATCGTCAAAACGCAACATAGAGCATTATTACGCACTCGTTCCATGATTCATGATAATGCCTGGATTCTTTTAGAAACAATCAATGTGTGTTCCCTATCTATCTACATTGTACATGGTTGCAGGTCGTTATTTATAAATCTTGATAATTTCACAACACTTTTCTACTCGTATACTGAGTACGCGGTGACTTGAGCGTTTAGGAAACGGAAGTCTTGGCGAGTGTACAAAAGGTAAACCTATCATTTGTACTTCATAACGGAATTGTGCACAAAAATGCACACGCACGTGCGCGCGCACACACACAAACACTGTACAAACACACACAAAAGTACAAGCACATGTGCACATACACACGCCTCGGCCCCCCCCCCCACACACACACACACTCAACTCCCCACCCCTGTACCATGTGTACTGAGTCTGACAGACATACAATCATGTTTATCCTTCCTTCGCCACCAGTTTCGGATAAGGCCACCCTTTCTTTTTTCGTTGTTTAACGTCCGCGCCCGCGTACCTTTTTGCCTCCGACCGGAAAAAAAACAAGAAAGTAGTAGTACCAATAATATGCGAAGTTGTAAATACATGATTGTGTAGTTTCACAGTGTGCCGATCATGACCCTAAACTTATAATCTTGCCTCCCGGGCATGCCTTTGTCTTGTGTTCTTTTTCTTTTTTTGTTGGCTTTTAAATATCGTACGGTGTGTGTCCTAGTAAAAATCCAGATGTAATGAATTCATGACATGCTAACTCCATGCTATGTACCTGTTTTGTTGGATTCATCAGGCATGTGCTCCAATGTACCATCAAATAGTGTTGTTCTATGCCTGCAAGTGCCGTTAGACCCAGAAATATTGTATATATCACATGCTTTACTGGTCAAAATGTTTGATTGGGGTTTCCAGTTTTTGGAATGGGCTTTTGTTTTTTTTCCGCCCTCCCGCGTACTTTTTCGCGAAAAAAAGGACGTTAAACAATGAATTAACAAAGGGTGGCCTAATGGTGTCAACAACGAGTTGTAAAATATTGGTATTTTAGGACTCCCTGCCCTGAAGACGAGCGCAGCGCCGTGGATCGAGCAGATCCGGCCGCGCCGGCCTAGCGTGCTTCACTTTCTGGCCGAGGCAAACATCGTCCGCGTGCGCGCATCCCGTGTCCTCTCCCGGGCTTTTACGACTCCCTGGATACAAGTAACATTATAGCAATAAAACTGCTTTATGGCAGTTTTCTAAAAAAAGTTATTGTGTTCTAGTCCATGGACCCCGTCTAAAAAGTAAGAAATTAACGAAATGTGATAGCTGAAAATTAAAATTTCACACAAAACCTCACAATAATCACAACACTTGAAATGCTGCTTTCAACCAGGGAGTAGTACAATACTACTCCCTGCTTTCAACACTAAACTTGTACTGCACCAACAATTGGCAACATGCATGCATAGGAAAGAGGATCGCGAGGGGAAGAGGTCTTCTGCATGTAGCTTTTCATTCTGTGTGTGATTATTGTGAGGTTTTGTGTGAAATTTTAATTTTCAGCTATCACATTTCGTTAATTTCTTACTTTTTAGACGGGGTCCATGGACTAGAACACAATAACTTTTTTTAGAAAACTGCCATAAAGCAGTTTTTATTGCTATAATTTCTTTTGTTTTTTCTGTCACCAATCAATGGAATGCCCTATATCAATATGTAAATGATGGCCTTCACATCATATCAATACCATATTATACGCATTGATGTGCAAGCCTTTTCTTGCAGAAAATGGCACTAGCATAATGCATGTTCTTCTGCGGGTAAACATGTGAGCATGCAGTGGTGGTTATACTTTTTTTATACGGAGGTCATTCTGTGCATGTTGCTGTTGCAGAATTTCATGACTCTGTCATAAAATTGTCTTGCCTTTCAGATATTTCAGATTTCTCCACCCTCAATCAGATTTATTTGAGAAATGTAGCCATGCGGCAGGTGCGTGTCGCAAATGTTTTTTGTTGATTCTGTGTTTATAATGGTTTATAGTCATGGGTTATCGTGATAAGGTCATCCAGCATCATGTTGAAACTGAAATCGTAATCCTGTTGATGTCGATACAACTTTTGGAAGTAGTTCAATGACTTCAAACTGTTAGTCCACGATTGTCTAAAACAACACAGCAAAGGAGGAACAATAAACATGTATTAAAATGTAAACGAATACATTGCTGAGTCCAAAACCTCGTTCCAACAACTACACTGTTCCTGAGGAGAAAAGGTACAAGGCTATGGTTGGAGGTACTGAGAGATAAACAAGGCACTCCACAATAATAAAATCTTACACATCTTTTGGTGAGTATGAATGATATCCAGTCGAACCTCTTTAGGACGAACACCAAGGGACCGATGGTATTTATTCTGTGAGCTTAACCTATTTTATAACCGGAGAATACAATTATATCTCCAATAGACATACGAATAGATTTCTTCTACGGCGAAAGATTCTAAGCCACACCAACTCATTGCCTCGTCTCGTATGAAACAATTGAGTCACTAGGGAGATTCTGCAAAACGAAAATGCGTACAAACTTTCGCTCTACATCATGAAGTGCGAAACTTCGCACCTTTGGACGCGAAACTTGCAGGGAACGCGAAATGAACTGTCGTAGGAAATTTCGTGAGGTCGGGTCATGGCGTAAGTGCACTTGGCCCGCGCAAACTACGAAAATGTGCAGAACGCAAAGTTCGTGCAAAAATTCGCACACACTTTCGCAAGGACTGTCGCGAAACTTCGTTCGAATTTTCGTTTTGCAGAACCTCTCTACTGAACCTTTCTTTAGCAACATGACGGCAACTCAAACAGCAACAGAGAAAGTACGATACATGTACTCCACATTCTTACAGGTACTACAAACAGATTGCAGATCGTAATTCTTGCTTTGGCGGCACGAAACTTTATTTGAGGCAGTGCAATCTCGGCGGTACTCACAAATCAAACAGCCCAGACTTGAGTAAACAAATCCAATCATACAAGTACGAGATTTTCACGAGACGAGACTGCACCCATTGGCTTGTTTCGTATGAAACAAACAAGTTACTGAACCTCTCCACAATAGAGATTTCCCCTGATATGCGAATTTATTTTGCAAACTCGGTCAATTGGTACTTGAACCTTTCCCTCCAGATTGGGAACTGCCAACGATAGTATGCCACTGACCAGTGCCTTACTTGTAACGTACCAATGTACAATGAATATGAGTATTTCGACAACACATCTAACATAAGCCTTACCGTCAAGAAGTTGAACTCGCGTTCTTCGCACACTGCAGACAAGGGCAAAGAGATAAAAATGGATCTAAATCCGAATAAAATCAGCACACGTTTCCGTAAATGAAAGGTGAACATAAGCAAATGAATTGAAGGAAACCGGTCAACTTAGAGATCACCTGTCATCGAGTATTCCGTAAAAGGAGGCCTCGCAGCTCGGCAGCAGAAAAGCAAAATTTAGAAAAGAGATCCTGTCAACTTTTCCATTATTTATTGCATTCCGCCCCAAAATCAGCACACTTTTCCTGAATGAAAGAGTCAACACAAGCAAATGAATCAAAGGCAACTGGTCAACTCACCTGTCATTGAGTAATATTCCGCGAAAGGAGGTCTCAGCAGCGCCGAAACGAAATAAGCCAGGCCATGAGACGAAATATCCGAAACAGCTCATGCATGCAAGAAGCAGTTCCAAAGAAGGAAGTTCCTCGCGCATGCACATCCGAACACGGATCCGCGGACTGCATGCACTGAACACAATGTCTGCCGTGCACGTGCACAGCACACGGCTACCACGCGTTGGTAGATCTAATACCGAGCACCTTACGTAGAGACTTACGTAGCCTAAGTGAAATACCGAGCACCTTACGTAGAAACTTACGTAGCATAGCGGTGTCGTTTTTTCTGCCATGTGAACACAATAATAGAAAAGCTGACAGGATCGCTTTTCTAAATACATATATATATGTACATGTAGTTGACTGGATCCCGGGACTGGGGAGTCCGTAGCCGGCCCTCTCTCCCGAATCCCGGCTTTCGCGACTCCCCGGCCCTGACAGCTGGCCCTCGGAGTCATGGGAAGCCAGCTCT